CACAACCTCCCCATGCCACACTGGTTCACTATGGACTGGCTGCATTTGGGGATGCCAGTGGGGACCCACTTCACTTCAGGTAGGGGGCACCGCATGATGGTATGCAGCCACAGCTGTAGGTAGTTCAGCACCTATCTCCCAACCTTTTCCATCCTACAATTCCCTCCCACTATCTTGTTGGCACAAAACAAACATTTACTACTGATCGGCACTGGCTTCCCAAGCCCAAAAGCACTGCTGCAAGCCATCAAGCTGCTCTACGAATCAGCCCTGGACAGTCGCTTGGTGTCCTCCCTTCTTTTTCATCCTCATCCCGGTTCCACCATCACTGAAACCCCTCCTGCTGCTGGAGGTGCTGTTACTGGGACATCAACTGGTTCAGTGGGCGGGGTCCCAAACCAAATGCATGGGGTTTTTCAGCATTCCAAGTGGCCACTGCGTATTCACAGCAGCCAGGACAGAGACATGCAGCATGCTTGGGTCCATGCTGTGCAGCAGAATTCAAAACTGGTGCTAGCTTTCCTGGCCCCATCCCCGGAAATGGGTGGAGACAGATGAATCATGGGATTTTTTTAGAAATGTGAGCTCACCTAGTTCTAGATTTCCTGGCCCCATCCCCGGAAGCGGGTGAAGACAGATGAATCATGGGTTTTTTTTAGAAATGTGAGCTCACCTAGTTTCCCACCATGCACAGCAAGAAAAATCCCAGAATGCACACTGCTCAGCAGGGAAGCAAAGCACCGTGGGATACCCTCCAAGAAAGCCATACCCGGAGTCTGCAGCAAACTGCTGCCGTGAGTATACAAGGACATGCCTTGACAGAAGGCACACCATCCCTCGTGTATGCCTCTGGTGCAGCATGCGTGCGGCGTGTGGATGGATGCTCATTAAGAAGCTGTGGAATAAATCCCCAAAGTATATGAACCCTAAGATAGGTGAGATTCCAAGCCCCAGAATGGCAATGGTTGTATATTCAACTCCCAGCATGCAGCTCTCTATGCACCATCACAGAAATCTGTGCAAGCGGGTGGAGCTCTGAGACCCATATTCTTTCAGCAATCACAGGGCTAATAGTCTCACATGGGCATAAACACAGGCTCTAGGCAAGCAATAATAGCCACAAGACAGGCGGGCCTCTTCTAGTCTGAGCATTCAGCTTTAGAAGGTCAGAACCCAATACTTCCTACCCTTCACGTACGGCTACGTCTACACTGCCGGCTTCTTGCAGAAGAACCGTTTTACACAAGCGTTCTTGTGCAAATGGTCTTTCACAAGAGTGCATTCACACTGCCTTGTGCTTTTGCGCAAGAGATGTGCTTTTGCGCAAGAGCGTCCATGCCAGTGTAGATGCTCTCTTGCGCAAGAAAGCTCTGATGGCCATTTTAGCCATAGGGCTTTCTTGCACAAGAAACCCCTGTTGCCTGACCACACTGCCTTCTTGTGGAAGAGCTTTTGCACAAGAGGGCTTATTCCTCATGGAGAGAGGAATAACTCATGCACAAAAAGCCCTGTCTTCTGACACTTTGCTGTAAATTTACTTGCGCAAGAACGCGCGTGCAGTGTAGATGCTCTGCAAGTTTTTGCGCAAGAACAAGTGTTCTTGCGCAAAAAGCCTGCGGTGTAGACATAGCCGTATAGTTTAGTAGAACTGACTACCCCACAGGTATATGTTGACTTCTGTATTTGGAGGGGCAGGTCTAGCTCAATGGAGCCACATGTGTATGGGGGGGGGGGGTAGGCAAATTCCATGCCTGCTTGAGGCTTGCAGTTTAGGGTCAACTTCCGCTTCCTCAACTACACCCATGGACAATCCACGTTACTCACTTCGGTTACGCATACTCTTCAAGCAGTGTGTGTGATGCCTTGGTCAAGCAGACATACCCGCACTAGCTCTGATGGAGTCAACATGCTAAAAATAAACTTAAAAATAACAAATGGTCTGGTAGCGCTTTATAGACTCACAAAACATGTAGATGGGATCATTGATTGTAGCTGGTGCAGAACAAGCAGCGATAGGTTCTAGCCTTCCTTAGTACAATCCCATCTGAAACTGTAAGGATGTTCTCGGCGCAGCTAGCCCTCCTGCTGTGGCTACAGGCTGTTTTTAGCATGCAGATCAATCAGAGCTAGCACAGGTATGTCTCCTTGCCTTGGGAATCACACACCTGAACAAAGAACACGCAATACCCTAAGACACTTCTTGGGGAACAGATAAGAGGAGCACTGTGATTCAGGAGGCAAGATAACACAAGAGCAAAATAGCCTCTCGACAGACCCGGTCAGGAATTATTTGACAAAGCACCAATTCAGCAAAGCTGAAACTGTGGGGAAGCATCAATTTCAACTAATGTCCTGTTTTGAAAAATGTTAAAGGGCAAAAGTAGATTTGAAATTGTTCAAATGTCTGTTCATACATTCTTGAAAACAAAAAAAAGTTCCATTTTTCCATTTAAAATGATTTGTCCTTTGAAATTATAAGTGAAAGGAAACAAATCAAAATCAAAATCCAATCAAAATGTTTGCATTGACCCAATCCATTTTTTCCTGTATTTGTAGCTGATGAAAATTTTCAGGATTGTGACTTTTTGTCCAAATATGCAAACGAGATTTTTTTTTTAATTTCAAACATTTTCCCACCCATAGCATTACCAGAGATACTAGCATTTGAAAAATAGAGGAAAAAAGATTAAGACTGTTTCCTGAAAACCTATTCCTGCCTGCAATGATAGGCTGATGGATTGTATGAATATATCGCCATCCACCCACAATGTCAAAGTACACAAATAACTCTACAGACTGTACTGGGACAATTTCAACACACATTGAATTGCGGCCACCTTTAGGATGAAAGGCAGCAACGACAATAGGCAGAGAATCATTGGTTCCATTAACCCCCATTCAAAGACCCAACACAGACCAAGCTGTGAGAATTTTAAGCCCCAATGCCCAGGACAAAACTAGGAAAACACTAAGTTGTGTGGCCCGCTTTAGAAAACTGTGACAACCTTTTCTTTGAAAATTTCTAGCACCTCCCCGCTTTAAAAGACGTAGAGAGATAGCTGATGCATAATAACATAAGAACTAGGGATTACCAAATGAAATTAATAGGTAGCAGGTTTAAAACAAACAAAAGGAAGTTTTTCTTTGCTCAGTGCACAGTCAACCTGTGGAACTCCTTGCCAGAGGATAGTGTGAAGATCTGGACTTTAACAGAGTTCAAAGAAGAACAAGATAAATTCATGGAGGTTGGGTCCATCAGGGGAGGTTTAGATTGGACATTAGGAAAAAATTCCTAACTGTCAGGGTGGTCAAATATTGGAATAAATTGCCAAGGGAGGTGGTGGAATCTCCCTCTCTGGAGATATTTAAGAACAGGTTAGATAGACATCTGTCAGGGATGGCGCAGACGGAGCTTGGTCCCGCCTTGAGGGCAGGGGGCTGGACTCGATGACCTCTTGAGGTCCCTTCCAGTCCTATTATTCTATGATTCTATGATTCTATGAATACTTATTAGCCAGGATGGGTAGGAATGGTGTCCCTAGCCTCTGTTGGTCAGAGGCTGGAAATGGATGACAGGAGAGGGATCGCTTGATGACTGTTCTGTTCACTCCCTTTGGGGCACCTGGCATTGGCCACTGTGGGAAGGCAGGATAGTGGGCTAGATAGACTGTTGGTCTGACCCAGTCTGGCTGTTGTGACGGGGTGGCGCAACCCCGCACTAACCACGCCCCCCAGGGGACCAGGGGGATGCAGAGCAGTGGCAGTGGAGGCGGCGGAGACGCGCCGCCCGGCTGATGGCTTGGCCGGTGCTTCCCCGGACGCATCAGGGGAGGCTTTCCCCGCGCCAGGGGAGACGGCGGCAAGGGCTGGTGCCCCCGCTGATGCCCCAGGGGAAATCCCGACACCGGGTGACGTTGACCCGCGGGAGGATGCTGGAGGAGGGCAGGGGCAGCGGGGAAGGGGGAGGAGCCGCCCGTGAGAGGCTGGCCCAGGTGTCCTGGAAGGGAGGGGTGGCACCCTCCACAAGATAAAGCAGGCAGAGACATTGGGGCCAAGGAGGCCAGGGAGAGCGCTGGATGAAGGGACTTAGGGCCTCAAAGAAGCAGCGTGAGAAGCACCCTGGTGAGCGGGGGGGAGGAAGCAGCCCAGGGCGGGGGCAGAGAGCGGCTCGCGGGCTGATGAGTTTCAGCACGTAGCCCCATCAGCCAGGTGAGGGGAGAGAGGTTATTCTCCCCTGCCTTAGGGCCCTGGGCTGGGGTCTGGAGAGAGGGAGGGCCCGGACCCCCCCTCACCTCCCTGCTCAGGGGATTGTCGGGACGACCAGGAAGAATGGTGGAATCTCTCGGTTCGGCGGGACGGGAGGAAAGCCGGAGCAGAAAAAGGGGCTGGGGAACATGACCAGGGAGGTCCGGATCCGAGCCCCGTGACACCGTTCTTATGTTCTTTAGAGGTGTGCCTTTTGCAATCCATGTGAAAATCAGCCTGAATTTGGCAGACCTTTGAAACATAGATAAGATAAGAGGAATTTGGCAGACCTTTGAAACATAGATAGGAATGGAAAAAGTAATATGGGACCATGCAATTAAACACTATATCATGACGCACACACATGGGGAGGGGATGTGTGTGTTCAGTTAAGGTAGCACAAGCAACTTCAACTCCAGCATTTCCTACATTTGGAGGGCTTATTTTGCAAATGTAATAATGCTCTTTTTATGTAGGGTTTGCTTGTTTGTTGGAGGGTGGACTATATCTTAACAGTGTCTCAAGTACAGGCTGGGAAGGGTTCAGCCTGACTATATTCGAATTAGCTGTTGGAGCTAGTTTCAGAATCCTCAGTCCCTTTAAACAAGCTACTAGGTCTCCTCTCTTCTGAGTGCAAAACAATACTTCTAAAGAAAGCTCTAGGGAGGCAGGAATGAAGCTGTTGGCCCTGTCTCCTTGCTGGGATCATCTCCACTGACTGCACAGCCAAATGCAAGATCAGTCCAAGGTCTTACTTTTAAGTGCAGGTGATCGGTCCATTGCCCAATGACTTTGTACTCCGGGGTGGAGTTTTTGATCTGGTATTGGTAGATGTCATAACGGCCAGGTGAATCTCCATTCTCGTTAAATGTCACCGGAGTCCCAGCAATGCCTGCAAGACAGAAAGGTTTTAACATCAGAGAGCTAAGCAACATCCACTCTACTGATGTGCCGTGTGTCTGATCCATCCAGTGCAGTGTCCAATTCACCTCCTGCTAAAGTCAATGGGATCTGTGCTGTTAAGTTCAGTGGGGTTTTTAGGCTATTTTCTTCTTCCCGGGTCGCTTCCCAGTGTCATACGGTCTGGTGACATTGGACAAATACAATTAAAAAATAAACCAGCCTTGCAATTTACCAACCTGTAGAGACAGAAGATAAACAGATACTTACTGAGCTATTTGCTTACCATTTATTCACGACTCAGACAAAATACATTTGCCTTCTAAACAAAGATTACGCCTGTCCCAATTTTTGTTAATATTAACATTTGGCTAGAAATGCCTGGTTTGATCATTATGTGTACACAGAAGTTTCACTCAATTTACTAAAATCCCCAAAACAACACATTCTGGGGAGTATAAAGGGGTACATTCTGCAATATGCTAATGTAGTGTTTCTCAGCCTTTTTTAAAATAAAGTACCCCTTTTTAAAAAAAAATTATAAGTACCCCCAGTACCTACAGTTTTCAGACACACAAAATTTTTTTCTACCATTGCAACACATTTGTTTAAACAACTTAATCGTATGAAACGCTGTAAAACTTAAAACAAAAATTCAAGTTTCTCCAAATTTCAGTTGTTTTGACATGCCTCCCAGACTTCTCTTGAGTACCTTGTAGCATTGATTGAGAAACATTGCACTAATGTAACTGAGGAAGTGGGTCTGGCCCACGAAAGCTCATCATCTAATAAACCATCTTGTTAGTCTTTGAAGTGCTACATTGTCCTGCATTTTGCTTCAGCTACCCCAGACTAACACGGCTACATTTCTATCACCACCACTAGGGCAGACTTGAACCTGCAATCTCTAGAGCTTAGGGTAGGAGCTTCTACAGCTTGAGCTATAAAGATAACTGGTTCTCAGCTAGGCACACACATTCCTATCTCTCACTGTAAGTGGTCTAAGTGCCAGTATATGGGACATGTGAGTTACATTAATATCCTTTAAACAGAGACTGGATGATTAGATGCACATTCTGTAGTAATGCCAACTCAAGCTCACTGTTGTACCGCTGATCATAGTGTGACGGAGATCCCGATCCCCGCACAACGTCTGTGCATAAGCCCACCCCTCTTCAGTGGAGCATGGCGCTTCGCTATTAGAAAGCGCTCGAGTCTCATTGCTCGTGGGACAGACGCACGCGCGCAGGTGCTTTGCCCCATCAGGCTGGCCTGTTGAATTGCAGCCTTTGGCCAGCGCATGCTTCCAGATCGGAATTCACCGGTGGTAGGAGCAATTCCCACTCCCTTTGCACAAGTGCAAACAGTTCTAAAAGGTGCCAGGCAGGGAGTCAAGCTGAGACCGTATTAGAGAGCAGGGAGGGGCATACTGAGAGAGAGAAGCGAGAAATGAGGCTACAAAGCCGGCTTCACCGCATCACTCGGGGCTGTGAAAAATGTTATGCCCTGTGCAATCTAATTAAGCCAACCTACGTTCTAATGTGAAGAATTCTTCCCTCCCCCACCTACTGCTTCTCAGGGAGGTGGATTTACTACAGCGATGGAAAAACCCCTTTCCGTGGCGGCAGCTCGTGCCTGCAACACTGTGCTGCAGCTGTCCCACTGTAGCATTTTGGGTGTAGACACAGCCAGAGAGGAGGACTAGAGTAGATGCCAAAAGAACCTGTGTCATTTATGTGATCAATTGCATTTCCTGTGTAGTGTACCCGTGCACCGTGCACCGTGCTCTCTGCTGCTCTCCCTTCTCCCCTCTACCACCATCTGCGGACATCTGGGAGTCTCTCTCCTACAGCCCTGAATAATACATCCATGTTCAGTGTCGGGGCATCCTGATGCTACATCAGTCATTCAGCTGCCCTGGTGGAAGGCAGAATAAGGGACCCCCTGAAGGTGAGGTGGGGGGGGGGGGGCATTCACCAGGGGGGGAAAGGAAGGTGGGCTCAAGTCCAAGTCCCACCTACCCACCCACCCAGGGGCAGAGGAAAATAGCAACACAGCATCCCATAGGCATAGGCCAGCTGGGCAAATGTGGACTGCATGAAATGGAGGGGCTGCAAGCAGGCAGATGCCATGCATCATTTCTCTGCACAGCTCTGCTGATGCACTCAGCCATGACCCTCATCCTCCGTTCCTCTTCCAGCCAGAGGCTCCCCCTTGCAAGCACCCAGCCCTGAGCTGCCAGCCTCCCCCCACTCCCATGCTAGACCTCACAAGCTATTTTTGCAAGAGACACCTCCAGTGCCGACAAGCTGACACTTCCCTCCCCTTGCCCCGAATGCCCCACGCGCTCCGATTCCTGCAGGCTGGGGCTCGGCTCAACCCCGGCTGCCAAGCAGGCACCGAGCTTGTGATGCAGGCCGACAAGGAGCAGAGATTCCTCATTAGGCGTGTGTAACTTGAGGCAGCCTTTGAATCCAGGCCCTTGGGCCTGCATTAACCCATTGCATGCCTGAGCCTCCCAGATAAAGCAGCAAGGTCTGATTCAGACTCAGACTGAGCCAGGAGCTCTCTGCTGGTGTCCGTGGCCGGAAGAGTGAGGCAGAGGAGCCAGTGAGGAAGACGATGGCTTGCCCTTAGTGGCTGCCATGTTCCCTGCCTATTCCCCCTGGCATGCAGGTCAGGATGGACACTCTCCTCTTACAAATGGCAGCTCAGACGCCCTCCCCTCCTTTCCCCACCTCCACACAGCTCATTACGCTTGAAGAACAGACTGAGTGATTGGCTTTGACATCTCCTGCCAGTCATGGGCAGTGGGGATTGCCCTCGCGCAGCTCTCGGGATGTAGCCCGGGAGGGAGAGTGGGTGGGAGCCGGGATGCAATACAAACACTGCAAAACAGTCGCGGGCAAGGCACAACCTCGGATTCACACCGGCTGCTCGCTGCACAGAAACATTTCCCGCAGCGCATGGCTGCTGGAAGGGGGAGTTCCGCCTCCTGCGGCTTTGCAACATTTAAAACAAAATTTACTTTCAAGTAAAATCAAGTGAGCTGTGCAAATAAATACGAGCCCAAGACGAGCCCAGAAGAATCAAGCAAGAGGGAAAGAAGGAAAAATAAATAAGGAAGACAGATTGCAGAGGAGATTGCGGAGGAGAGATAAATAGAAGTAATAAGAAGCAAGGGACAGAAAATGTTTATTAAAGAGACAGAGTACAGGGAAGCAATGAGTTTCCAGAAAAGTTACGAGGGAAGACAAAACTACAGCAGAATGGCTCAGACAAGCAGCTTATTTCGACAAAGGAATAGAAGCCAAAGCAGAATGGAAGTGGGTCATGCTCCATGTTCGAGTCCGTGATGCCCTTATGAGCACAAGTTGCATTGGTTTCCTGCAAGTTCTTCTATCACCTTAGTGTTTTTAAAAAAATTCCTGGCCTTAATTTTCAGTACTCAGCTCTTTGGAAAATCTGCCTCTTAGCCACTCCCCCCATTACCACAGGGAGAAGAATAAAACCACAGGGATCTACAGGCCGTACTCCCTAGAAGTCCAAGATACGTTCCAAAAAACATGGACTTATAGCGAAACAACTTAAAGTGGGGAATTTTTTTTCCCATGGCTGACTTCCATTTGCGCAAATTGGGGTATGTGTGTGTTGCATGACTTAAGAGCAGGGAATGGGAGGACTTATAATGCATCAGTTCCCACAAACATCAACGACTTTAGCGCGAAACGGATGTATGTCAAGGCGACTTCTAGTGGGAATGCCCTGTATTTAGATTGCAGTCTCTCCAGAGCAGGGCCTGTCTCTCACTAAGTATATGTACAGCGCCTAGCATACTGAGGGCCCTGGCTCGGCTCCAAGTTGCTACCATAATGCACCTAATAAATAGAAAGTCCTGGCTGAGAGCTGAAGAGCTGCTCTCATTCCCAGCTCTGGAGACCTGGAGTAGCTCCTGGGACTTCAGCAGAGTCATTCTGCAGTCACCAAGTGCATAAATAGCCCCTGCTCCTCTCTTGCTACCCCTCTCTCTCTCCTATTGAAGGCCAGATGGCGTGACCCCTCGCCCCCCCCCGCGGACAGACAGACCTGAGAAGTTGACGTTGCGGATGTACTTGAGCAGCTCCACACCGTCCACCGGGTCCATCCTGGGGCAAAGGCCGACCTTGCCGGGACACAAGCTCTTGTGCATGTTGTGCAAGGCGTGGCCCATGGCGTACACGGCGTCGATGACGAACTGCACCTTCCCCTCCTGCTCGTACGAGGAGTCCTGGCCGATCCGCTCGCGATCTGCAAACACACGACATGGGGACGTGGCAGCACCAGCTCGCGCCCCCGCCCCCCCCCCCCCCCCCCCAGCCAACCCTGCTGCAGCCAGATCTCCGGACACGCTTCCCACGGTTCCTCCCACCAGGCACGGCAGAGCTGGGAGCTACCGATAGCCGCCCCCTTTTCCTAGCGTGATTACTGCAAAGCCAAGCAGAACTCAAGTTTCCCCAGACCATCTCTTGTCCCTATGGCACCAAGTAGCCTGGGAGCTCACCAAAGCCATGTAGTGCATCAGAGGAACTTAGAACATGCCATGGTCTTCTACCTTACACCATTCCCAATACAGCCAAGCCAGCAGACACTGGCAATGTCAACTTTAAGAGTGGCTCCCATTAGGTTCAATCAAAGGCACAGGTGCTCAGCTGTTCTGAAAACCAGGCCTGATATTAAATAGGCAGGCAGGACAGCTCTGTGGCTTAAAGCCGTGGGCTGGGGATTCACGGGATCCACTCCCAGCTCTGCATCTGACCTGCAGTGTGACCCTAGACCTTGTGGTTTTTTTTAACTGCTTGTGACTCCCATGACAGCAACAGGGAGCTGTAGGGTCCCCACAACTCTGAGAATCTGCCCCTTGAAGCTGTCTCTGCGCCCCAATTCTACAACTGCAAAACAGCAATTCCTTTGCCTGCCTAGTGTACTTCAATTTTAAGGTGAGTGCAGCAGAGCCTGCCTCATCATATTAGGCATATGGACAGCACCGAGCACCGCTGTTACAATCCTGGATACGTCCTATCTCAGTTCCTAGATCGAAACATTACTCCCATTCAAATACAGGCAGTCCCCGGGTTACATGGATCCGACTTACATCGGATCCCTACTTACAAACGGGGTGAGGCAACCCCGCACTAGCTGCTTCCCCCCAGCAGACTAGGGAGACGCGAAGCAGACACGGAGCGGCTTTTCTCAGCAGACACTTCAGCTTGAGAATAAAGGGCTGAGGGAAGTGAGGTGTGGGAGAATAAAACTGAGCTCTGGAGAAATGTTTGGCTAGAGTTTCCCCTACAATATGTACCAGTTCCGACTTACATACAAATTCAACTTAAGAACAAACCTACAGTCCCTATCTTGTACGTAACCCAGGGACTACCTGTACTCCCAAACATTGAGGCATATGTAATCCAGCTCTGAATTTTATACTCTGAGCACATCCCTAACACTCACGTATATTTCTCTGGAAGTAGCTGTGGGCTGCTAGACATCTTTTGTGCAAAAATTCCCCTGAGATGCATAGCAGCATCATTTAATCACTTATAGTTGTTTAGCACTTCCATTTTAACACTAATCTCTCCTCCAAACCCCATAAAACTCTTCAGCTAGTTAGAACTCATCTTTCCCAGCCAGGAAGTTTATGGTACATAAAATTTACAGAGTAAACAGCACCAGAATGAAAATACGTTCCAAGCAAGCTCCAAACTCTTCATGCAACTTGAATGAGGCTGCAGGAGACAGGTCTGAAGTGGAAGCAGCCTATAGCCAATGTCCAAAGCTTGATGGAGTAGTGTAGTGTAGACTACCTAGGGCTGGAAGGGAAAGGTGTATCTCACTGCACTGTCTCAGGAAGATACCTCCTCCAGCTCTGCCCAACTTCCCAGCACTGTGATCGATATTTCCAGGAAGTCCCACCTGCAGGAGGTGGGACATCCAGAAGTGGTAGAATAACCTAGTAGAGCTCATTGAAATTCCTTCCTAGTCACTGTGACGATAACTATTATACAGGATTCCAGAAATGCTTCACCTGAAGGCAGGTAACATGTTTGATATAAACAGACATGGCTAGAAAATGTCAAGATTTCAATGAAAAAAAATCAAAACCAGAAAATACCAAAATATATCAATTCTGAAATGCCATCACAATACCTAATGGGAGTTGTAGTTCAGGTGCCTCATGTGCCTCTATAAGCCAGGCTCTCTGACTGGACTACATTTCCCATGATGCACCACAGACTCTCCTATCTCTCTCTCCCCCCCCCCCCCCCAGCGGGGGGGGGGACCCCCGCTGCAGCCTGGGAGATGAAGTCCAACTGGAGAATGTGGCTCAAATGGGAGAAGGGGATTATGAGGCAACTGAACTACAATTTCCAAGAGTCACCATTTCAGAATCAAATTATTTTCATGTTCAGTGGTTCTGTTTTTAGACAAAAATTGACATTTTCCACAGAAAGCAGAAGCTTTTCATATAAAAACCATTTAGTCAAAACCCCAGTTTTCAGTCTAAAATAAGCTGAGAGAGAACATTTTTGACCAGCTGTGAGCAGAAGACTTCATTCTTGGTTACCCATGCTGTGTCACAGCATTCACAATGGGAAGATGCTCTCTGGATGCTTCTCTTGGATGAGCTCAGGACTGTGCCTCGTCCCTAAATTCAGCCCCTCTTCTGAGCTTTACCTCTACTACACCCGGGGCCTGGCTTAGGGCTTGTTTTATTTCCACCGCACTGGAGCTGTCTGCAGTTGGCACTGGGCCACACGGCACATATTCTCTGAGTTCACATACCCCCAGTCACAGCTTGAGCTACATCTTATGCAAATATTATTCATCCTCCAGCATGCTAGGTTCATCAATCTCGCCATCAGCTGCAACAGTATCAGCCTCTCGGGAGCTATCCTCAGTGTCAAGAGACTGTCTGCGCAACATCCATCACAAGCCATGCATCCTCCACCCTGCGCTCGCCGCCCCTCCCTAATGCTCCTCCCCTCCTGCTCCCTCACCCGCTCGCTGCTCCCCCCAGGTGCTGACCCACAGATGGATCCCGCACTTCTCCAGCCAGCCCTAGACTGCGGAATCATTCAAGTGTGCGGCAA